TAAACCATTAGGTCAGAAAAGGAAAGCAGTTGTAAAGTGAAGCCAATAGGCTCCCCCATACTTCACCAACTCAACTATTTAGTCCAACCATATTGTTGAGTTTCAGGAGGCAGTGATGCAGATGGGTTTACGAAGTGGGGCTTATACTGTGTAAGCAAACACCCAGGTAAATGAGGTCATAGGCACTCACCCTATGAAAACAGAAGGAAGGACACACAGGTTAATTCACACAACAAATCACAAACCTGTCTCTGAGTCTGCGAAACTGTCCTTTGAGAAGACATGCAGTTGCAAGACCTTTGCTAGAATGGTATCAAACAGTGGAATTTGACAAATCCTTCATACCTGTAAATTAAACATCTCTGGTGATGTCATCAGGTGCTGAGGTAAGCCAATTCAGCTGCCAAGTGAAAACAAAACTTTGAATACAGTTAGCTGTGTTCTGATATTCACAACTTAGCATTATGATTTTCATTGATATCTAATTTTTCTCCCTAAGATTATCCTCATTGTCATCAAAGAGGCAGCTAGTTTTTAATTTTGCCTCATCATTTGTGTGACCATAACAATAACAGCAATTGATCACCTAAGCTCTTTAAATCTGCTTTCCTTGAACTTCCGCAAAGAACCTTTAGATTGACACTTAGCCCTTCAGGACACAGAAGCCATACACCACACCTGCCATCCAGCTTTGCCTACAATACCTTAACCATCTTTCAGGAAAGCAACCTTCGTTCCTTCCCTGGAATAACTGCCATGAACCACATGACCAAACAAGGTACCAGGCCATTTCTCCAGTGGCTTTCTAGCAAAGGTCTTTGAAAGTCAATCTCTGTTCCCAGGCATGCTTCCTTTGGGCATGACATTCTAGTCAAAGTCTTGTTATTAAAACCACAACTTGAGGTGTGTCTTACTGGTTTCATGCAAAGAAGCTTTATGTCATTATTCACCCATTAAGAATGCCAAATCCTGGAGGTATCAGATAGGGAGAAAAATACAAAGCAAAAAGGAAAAGACTTATCCTTCCAATATCCACCAAAATTGCATTTCCATGCCTTATGCTTTCCATTGTTTTCTTTCCAACTTAATGTGAAGTTTTAACTCTTACAGACCCTCAGTTTCTTTTAATAATAGAAACAAAGACAAAGGTTCAGAAAAAAGAGGGAAAGGACCAGAACTTGCCTTAGAATCTTGTGTCACACCAACCAATCCCACCAACCAGTCCCACAGATCTCTCTTAGGTCCAAATGGCCCAAAACCCAATGGTAGAGATATTCTCTCAGCCCCCATTGTGGCAACTAGTCTTATAGCAGAGACATGCCCTCTAACTCCAGCTGGTATGCCCACCAGCATCTTAGGTCCCAGCTGCCCAAAGTCGCAATGATAGAGACATTCTCTTGCCTACCAGTGCACCAACTAGCCTGACAGTAGAGACATGATGATTCCTGATATAAACCAAGCAACAAAGTTCCCAGTAGTTCCCACAAAATCAGAAATCAAGCATGGAACCAAGAGAAGAGATTTCTTTCCTTAAAACTCTCAAACTATCTATACTCATTCAGCTTTAGTCACAACTCACTTTTAATCCTTGTTTTTTTCAATACTGGGAAGGACCATACTCTAACTCAGTATCAAGCAGCTAAAAGTTCCTAGATTTGCAAACACATAAATAACATAAAAGAAATGTTGTAGTTTTGCATTGGGGCCTGCTGTCTTCATCTGAAAGAGAAATTTCAAATCTCCTTCCAGAGTGCAAGTCCAGCTTTCCATTTCAGCATCAACCACAGCATCAGGCTTTGAGTCCTTCTTGGGTGAGCCTATATTATCCTTGTATGGTGGATCCAAGACTTGACTCCCATGAGTTTCAGGGAAGAGTGCTTTGTCAATAGGATGTCATAGGGAGCAGTCCATTGCTTAGCTAGCTGCAGTTTGGGGCCTTGAGTCTTCAGGTTTTTAGTAAGACTCAGTCCCTCAGCTGGAATGAGTATGAGGGCTCATCATGTGGATAGGTGGAACTGCAAGGAGCAAACTTTTGCAAAAACATTAGTGTTTGCCCTAAATGTTGCACATATTGTTTAATTTTTGACTTGTGCTTCAAACCTTTGGGGAGAGGGCACTCCTAAAACCAAAATTTGGAAGAGTATTCCATAAATTATTTCAAAAGGGCTTAATTTAAGTCCACTTCTGGGAGCTACCCTAATCTAGAGCAAGACAATGGGGAGTGTCTGGTCCCATTTCAACTGCATTTCCTGGCGTATTTTTTCCAGGGTCTTCTTTATCATGTGATTCATTTTCTTGGTCTTTTCCATAGATTGAGGCCTCCAACATGCATGTAACTTCCACTGTATTTGTGGTGCCTGTCCAACCTTCTGGGAGATCTCCAAAGTGAACAATGATCCACTGTCACTCTGAATGCTGTGATGAAGTCCAAACCCAGTAATATTTAAGTAAAAGTTTTGCTACCTCAGTTGCCTTCTCAGTTCTAATGGAGTATGTCTCTACCCATACAGAAAGAGTGTCCACAAAAAATACTAAAAATTTGAAATTCCCTCTGGTTTTAGACACTTTTGTAAAGTCCACTTGTCAATCCTCAAATGGGCATAACCTTTTATATTACACTCCCTTTTCTGCTGGAGTGCATTCTGCCTTAGGAGTGTTTTTGGCACATATCTGGCAGGCTTGTGTGATCCTCTGAACAGCCCTTTGCAAATGAGGGCCCTTCATGTGTGGTCTAATGAAGTACATCAAAGCATCCCTTCCATAATGGGTCCTTTCTTGTTGGTGTTTGAAGAGGGGATACACTAGAGCATTGGTGAGTAAGATCATGCCAGGGCTGTTGATCTTCTTTATGGAATTGAGATCAATGTTAGAGCATCCTCATTCATGGGCCCATTCCTCATCTTGTTTTGTGTAATGGGGGTTAAATTTTGCCAAGTCCAAGCAGGAGATAAAAACCCCCAGGTGTGGTGGCCCTCCAGCTGCTTTCCTCACCACTTTATCAAAGGTTTGGTTTCCCTGGCTCATTTGGGAACCATCCCTTTGGTGTCCTGGGAGTGCATTATGGCAGCCTGGTTCTGTAGATGATTCACTGCTTCTAGCAATTGTAAAATTTCTTCTGCATGTTTGACATCCTTGGTCCCCAAGATTAAGAACCTCCTCTCCTTCCATATTGCTCCATAGAGATGGACTACTGTGAAGGCATATTTGGAGTCCTTGTAGATGTTAACCTTCTTTCCTTAGGGCAGTACTAAGGCTCTTATGAGGACTATCAACTCAGCCTTTTGTGCTGAGGTTCCCAGCACAGGGGTTTGGGTTTCTATTACAGTGTCTAATGTGGGTCCCGTGTACCCTGCTCATCATTGGCCATTGTCCACAAAGCTACTCCTCTCTGTATGTACCCTCCAGTCTGGTGATGCCAGTAGCTCATCCAGTAGATCCAGCCTGCTAGAATAAACTTGACCAATGATTTCCAAGCAGTTATGCTTGAGGACTGAGTCTCTGTGTCTGGGATCAGGGTGGTCAGGTTCAAGTTTGTAGTAGTCTGTAAAGAAACATGTGGGTTGTCCAGCAGAATGGTCTGACATTTTCCCATGTGCCCTGCTGTCAGCCAGTACCCTCTTTTCTGTTCCAACAGAGTTAGGACCTGGTGTACCAATACTATAGTAGGCTGCCCCAAAGTAAACTTCTCAGCTTCCTGTAAGATGTCACAGGTAGCTGCTACTGCTCAAAGACATGGTGGCCACCCCTTTGTCATGTGATCCATTTTATTTGAGAGATAGGCAATGGGCCTAGGGATGCTTCCCAGGATCTGGGTTAATAAACCCATTCCAATCTCTTGACTTTCATGAACGTACAATTTGAAAAGCTTCTGTAAATTGGGCAATCCTAGTCTGGGAGCCAAAACTAGCTTTTCCTTTATAGTGTCAAATGCTACCTGACAATTACTTGTCCATTCAAAGGGTTCAGAGTCTAGGCCTTTTAAAGAATTGTAGAGGGGTTTTGCTGTAAGTCCAAAGTTTGGAATGCAAATTCAGCAGAACCCAGTGATCCCTGAGAACTCACGAAGCTGCCTTGGTTCTCTGGGATTTTTACTGCATCAAGGTCTTGTTTTCTATCTTCCATCAAGCTCCTAGTACCCTGTTTCAGTTGAAATCCCAGATGTGCCACCTCCTGTTTGCAAATCTGTGCCTTGTGGGGCAATACCTTTTTCTCCTTTTTTCCAAATGATTTAGAACAGTGATGGTGTTGAGCAAACACCATTAGTCCTCATAGGTAGTGTTAGCTATCTATGCAGGGTCCAGCAGAAGTAAAGCCTACTTGAGTGTGGTTGGTGGAGTAACAATATGGGCGTACTAATTTATAATTTTAATTTAAACATTTCACCTAAAATGTCATATGGTGTGCTTGAGTGTGATATTGTTATGTTACAGAATTACATGCTTTTGATTTTGTAATAAAAATGGGGTGTTATTTCTGCCAGACCCTGTATGTCATTTATATGTTGTAAAAAAAACCCTCTTAATTTCAATTGAAACATCCCTTAAATCTTTTTCCAGCACTTCTCCAAATATAGGGGGAAGTTATTAAATCCTTGTGGCAGCACAGTCCATCAATATTGGAGCATGACTTCAGTTTCCAGGTCTTGCCATTCAAAGGCAAACAGTAGTTAAGCCTGTCCTTCTATTAGCATGCAGAAAAAGGCATCCTTGATATCTAGGACTGAAAACCATTTTGCTATCTCCAGGCACCATGGTCAACAGAGTATAAGGGTGGGCATTGCCGGATGAATGAATATCACTTATGGCTCTAAAATTCTGTACGAATCAATATTCATCAAAGTGAGGCTTTTTGACTAGCAAAACAAGAGTGTTATAGGGAGACTGGAATGCCAAAATTAGCCCTGATTTTAAGAATTTTTGTAATATTGGCTTAATCTACTCTAGAGCCTCCTCTTTCAGGGGGTACTATTTCTTCCATTGGGTCTACGCCCCTTATTTTAGGTTAATTTTTATGGGTTGGATATTAACTGCTTTACCTGGGATTCCATCAGCCCAAACAGTTTGATCAACCTGTTCATAGATCTCAAGTGGGAAGAGTTTACCTCGGGGATCTTCCAGGCAAGTCAGAAGCAGCTGGAGCTAAAGACCATGTTCCAGCAGGACCTGTACACATAATTGTTGTTTTTCAGGAGAAAAAGTTGTTTCTACAAACAGTTTGCAAAATAAATCTTGGCCCAGCAGTGAAATGGGACAATCTGGCATATAGAGAAAACGATGCATAAGCTTTTGATGCCCAAGCTGGCATTCCAATAACTGCCTTAGACCAGAGAGTCCAAGAACGAAGATGTCAGGCAACTTGTGAGGACATGTGAAGCTGGCCTTTCAGGACAGCCCTCAAGTTATACAGTTTTGGTAGCTTCCTTTGAACTAAGTATTGACAAATTCCCTGCAAGGTAGAATATACCTATACTCTAAATGATTTGCCCATGTGAGCCAAAATATTAATTGTTGTCAAAAGAAAAGATAATCTTTTGCAAGGTAAGAAACAAGTTCAAACTACTGGTGAGAAATTTTAATCCAAGGTCATAGTGTGAAAGGACACTGGAGGTCTTGGTCACTAGAGCATCACTATTTCAAAAAGCCTCTGTTCATGTGCATAATTAGATTATCACAGATCCTGGTTTCATGTTATTACTTGATTGAAATCCAAACCTATACCTGTCCTGGAGCGTGTGATAAACCAGATGTGCCTGGAGCTCCCGTGTCACCATCTTTTCAAATACGGGCATCCTAATTAAAAAATATATAAGCTAGATTTTTGCCAAGGATTCAGATAAAGTATCAAAAAGGGAGTAGAAATGTTGTCTTTCTTTTTTTTTTCACTTAAAGGGTGGGTCCCAGGGTTGGGGAATGGAGTGAAAATCCTTCAGTAGGCTCCTGGAAGAAAGGCTGACCAAGGGAAACACATCTTCAGTGAGTGGAACTTTCCCATTTCCAGGGAAGATTGCTTCATGCTGATGATCATGTGTAAAAACAAGCCTCTTCCCCCACTCCTGAAGTTTGTCTCTGAAAACAAGCCTGTTCCAGCATGTGGAGAAAAATATGCAAAGCATGTGAAGCTCAGATATGAATCTGAATGCTGTGGAAAACAGCCAAAAAAGTGGCACCTTGTCAGCCACTAACAATACTTTAAGTCCCTCTGTTCCTTTCAAATAAATGAGAACTAGAACCCAACCTGGGCTACAAGCAGAAAACAACTTAACATGGGAGCATCTACATTTGTGTGTTCAAGTTCAGTACCTGGTAATATATGCAGGGAAAAAAATCAGATTTGTTAGTGTCAGGTGTAGTCTTGGAATGACAAACCTGGTAAATGCCAACCTTGAAGTCAAGAAAAAACAATTCTTCTCCAGCAATATACTGACAGTGACCAGGCAGACTTCAGAAGTTTGGTTATTTAAATAAACAAATTTTTATAAAATGTATAATTAATATGTAAAAGATGTTGATGATGGCTGGATATTGGAAAGAAAATGGTTAGATTTAGTTTATTTTTAATGCTCTCAATTCTTATTTCCTCTACTTCTACCACACCCTGGGCACTTAGTCAAACCTAAGCAGAACCAGGACAACCAGCAGATGAGGTTTAACAAGAACCCCCACCCAAAACTCCCTTCAATTTGGTGCCTGGAACATGATCTTTTCAAAGATTCAGGGGTACATGCTTGTCCATTAGAGTGGGTTTTACACCAGGAGGAAGCAGGGATATACTAGGATATTTAGTATATAAATAAACAATAAGCATTGAATACTTTCTCCTGAGCATGTTTCACTAGAAGATTTGGGTAAAAGGGGAATTAAGAAATTGTCTTTTGGTTTAAGATCAAGTCCAAGGTTTTTTTTTATATTTAAGAATGGATAACTTATAATGTATATAAAACTTGTAAGAAATTTGAATATAAAACATGAGACTCCATGATATTTTACTTTGAAGGGGATTTTTAGGGCATCTCCACCCCTCAAGTCATGATGGTTCTACCTTTCCATCTTGGTCTAGAAGTTTGATACACATTGTTCTAGAATCAGGATTGTCCAACCTGCAGCCCATGGGCCACATGCAGTTCATGATGGCTATGAATATGACCTAACATAAAGTGGTAAGTTTACTTAAAACATTATGAGATTTTTTTGTGATTATGTGTTGCAATGTATCTAATGTGTGGCCCAAAACAACTCATCTTCTTTCGCTGTGGTCCAGAGATGCTGAAAGTTTGTACACCCCTGCTAGATGAATCATGCAGCTCTGGATAGCACATGTCTTGCTGCTGTTCCTAGTTCATTGCTCACTTTTTTCATAAACCTTAGAGGAATCCATGAGAATCAAGCATCATTAACAATGACCAAATATAGATGAGAGGTCCTCATTTGCACAGGTTCAATTGATTTCCTACAAGATCTACCAGTTTTGGTAGGGAGATGTCTCAATGACAAATTAAAGATAAGACAATCATGACTGTGGATACCTACAGGTTTTCACACTTGGTATAACTGATAAGGCATAGAGTAGGATAGCAGAGAAAAATTCAAGATGAGGATTCTTTCCCATGGTTTCTCAAGAGCCAGCTGATAGCAGAGACGGCAGGACAGCAGAGCAAATGCTACCTGGGGCTTCTTCCCCAGGATGCCCAACAGATAAGACAACCTCTGAAGATTGGCTAAGGGCCAAACAGGAGCCATATCTGCATCAGGAACACCCACAGCTCTTCACTGCATGCTTCTGGTCCCATGGTCCTGTAGCCTTGTCTTCCTGGGACCACATTTCCAATACAGAAGGGCAGAAGGAAAGGTCTCCTCTGGCTTATGCCTCCTTTTCCTCCTATATACCCCTTCTTATTACTTTCTTTCTTGGATTCTTTCCAAAATTTGTCTCTTTGGGTATAAATTGAGACAGAACAAGCAGTAACATGCAACTATGAGAGATCAACATGCACCCATTTGGCTAAGGGAGAGAGAGATTGAAGTGTTCGGGTTTTCTCATTTCCCATTATCATGTGCACAAAGGGACATGTGTCCATAATTTCCCCACATACCTAATAATTGTTTACGTACAAAAGAATTATTTTGTTTTTGTTTTTTGTTAAGTTTATTAGGATGACATTGGTTAATAGTATTATATGTTTCAAGTGTACAATTCTAAAATACATAATCTATATATGGCATTGTGTACTCACCAGCAAAATCTAGTTGGCCTCTGTCACCATATATTTGACCTACTTTACCCTCTTCAACCTCCCTCTAGCCTCTTCCCATTTGGTAAGCATCCTTCTGTTTTCTATATCTCTGAGTTTATTTGCAAAATAATTGTTAATCTATACATTAAATTCTTATTTCTTTTTCTAGAGAAAGAGATGTGTGTGGGAGATGTGTTTTTGTGTACTCAATACTCTTCAATATGCATTCAAAGAGCATTTGCTCCTTGTACGGTGTGCATAGGGATTGCTGTGTAAGTTACATATCCAAAAATAATTTCCTATATCTGGCACATTCTTCCTTGCACATATGAGAAGGACCCCCAAAAACCCAAAATTTATTTATAAAAATTTGTGTATTTACTCTTACATGCTTAAAGGGGGGGGGGGGAAGGAAGTGAAGGGGAAAGTCAAGGAACATATAGCAAGGACTCATGGACAAAACCAAAGGGGAAGAGCTGAGGGAGGGAAGGAGGCAGGGGGCAAGGGAAAGTGGTGAGGGGTAGGCAGAGACTAATGTATTTGAAAAAATAAATTAAAATAAAATTTTTTTAAAGAGTACTCTCCATTTAATTCAATACACCTATCAAGATATTTTTTCACTGCTCAAAACAGTTTTTGAATTCATTGATTATGATGCTTTTTAGTGCTTCTGCTGTTTTTTGTTACACGTCTTCCACACAGACAAGACATTTCACTTTGAAGACTTTTTTCATCAAGAGAAACAAAAAAGAAGTCATTCTGGTGAGATCAGTTAAATAAGGAGGGTGTGGTACAGGGGTCATGCCATTCTTGGTCAAATATTGCTGAACACTCAATGCAATAGGGGCAAGTGCACTCATGGATCACCCATCATGAAATGAGCAAATGCATTAAAAGAGTCTTGGAAAAAAATTCACTGAAGCTGAACTCAGCCCCCCACAACAACACTGGCTGGTACACTTATACAGATGGATTCTTAGAACACTCACCTATTTGCAGATGTCTGCACTACAAGGAGCCCAGCTTCCAGAAGATAATTCCAGTTTTTTGGAGGCAGCCCCACTAGTATATATAGCTAACCTCCTTGCCTCCTTCAAATCTTTGCTCAAATGTCAGTTTTTCCTAATTCCCCTTCCCTACTCTAATTTTTCTTTCTCTATAACACTTATAACCTAATGTGTTATAAAGTGTGTTAATTTAGTTTGTCTGTTGTTTATTGCCTAATTTCCCTCACTGGAATTTGTGTTCTGTGAGGACAGTGATCTTTCTTTTGCTCACTAACTTTTCTGCTAAGCACCTACCACAGAGTCAAGCTCATAGTATATGTTCAAAAACTTATGTTGATCCCTAACCAGTGTGGCTCACTTGGTTGGGCATCATCCTACAAAGCAAAGGGTCACTGATTCAATTCCCAGTCAGGGCACACGCTTGAGTTGTGGGTTTGATCCCTGGTCAGGACACATATGAGAAGCAACCAATTAATGTTTCTCTCTCACATCAATGTTTCTCTCCCTCTCTTTCCCCTGCCCTTCCCCTCTCTTTCTCTAAAAATAAATAAATAGAACCTTGAAAAAAAATAAAACTTATTCAATTATACAACTAATTGAAAAAATTAGTTGTATATTACTTTCCCAAAAATTAGTTCCTAATTATTTCTAACTGTGGAGGTAAATGAAAACCAATTGTTTCTTCTACCATTCTATTTTTAGAAGAAATAAAAGATGTGCAGTAAGGAATGGTGAGTGTAAATAGCTAGTTTTAAAGAAGAAAATAACCAAGGTTTTAATATTTTATTTATGACTACAAGTAAGGCCTGGACATCATTGGATTGTTAAGACCTTGATATTGTCTCCCAAAGTCAGTAGTTTGTTGTCATAGTAGGAAAACTGCACTGCTTTTTTTAATTAGCCATGTAACAGTATCTTCAGCACAGCAGCCACATGT